TTGGCATGGCCAAAGAATCAACGCACTAATTAACAAATGTTTAAAACTTAACTAAGTATGTTTTTCATCATACGGTTTTGCCGGCAAGTGTTGCTCTAGTTTTTAATACTCTACCACACAGCGAGCAGGGTATATTATGCATGAGACTTGAAACCTTAAATATACATATATACTCATATATATACGCATCAGATAAGCATGAAGATCAATGTCTTCTGCAGTTTTAAAGTGTAGCCAAATTCGAAACGAGAACACGTTTGAACTTTACTAAAGATTGATTTGATAGTCATTTGGCTAATCGGATGTCAAAAAGCGTATTTTAAGCAAATATTGAACCATGATAGAGTACTAAATAGTTCGAAGTACCCGACTGCAACAGATTTAGCTTGTTTTTGGTTTTATTTTGTTGTTGGTTTCGGGTTTTCTGAGCTGGCAAATGTGCGTTTGGGTGCTGCTGCTGCTGCACTGTAAATTTAAGGTTTTCATAAGCTTTAATTAAAGCTTAACTGTTATTAAATTAATAAATGGCTTAACTGCGTTATGCTGCATCATGTTTTTGTGTTGTTTCTATCAAATTAGCTGCCCAAAGTTATAAAATTACTCTGTGAAACTGTGCTTTAAATATTTAGTTCTGAATAAACGATGTGGCATTTGAGCTACGTATTTAAATTTCATGAAAAAATATGTATTAGTTTTAATTATTTTTAATAAATGAACTATTTTACAGCTTATATTTTACAAGCTTTATTACATATAAAACAATAACTAAGTAAAATGCATCGAAATGCGCCGAAAATACTCCCATTACAAAAAGGCGAAAATTTAATTCCATGATCATGCGACTTTGGCAATTGTAAAAAAAGCCATAATTAAATGTTATCAATAACGTTCAACAAACAGCAAATGATACATTTAATTAGCTTAATTATTGAAATATCGAAAGAAGAATGCGGAATAAATGTCTGAAATGAATCGATTCACGCAGAATTTAAAATGCAGCCTGCAGCGATTTAAAAACGCAGTTCGCATTCGACCAACTATGGTTGAATGATGGGCGGCGCGAGGCGATGGGCATGGCCGGGGGTGGTTGTGGGTGGGGGCTGCTATTGAGCTGAAATGACAGCCGCCATTGCAAATTGAAAGCAGCAGGCAAGTGAGCCTTGTTTAGACTGAGCGCCATGGCAATTGCACACGAGCCACGCCAGCCGGGAATAAAAACAGTTACTGCGGGGCACAGCCGAGCAGAGGGTGCAAGGTGTGTGTGTGTGTCTGTGTGTGTGTAGGTGTGTTTGTATAAGGCAGGACACGCTGGGAAAAGCGGTCGGCGGGGCTGCTCGTAGGAGTCGTAATTAGAGCGTAAAAACCAGAGCGTACGAAAAACCAAATGCGCTCGGGCAGCTACTACTATTTTTTTTTCTTTACGCCTGCATTGTGTGTAGATATGTGTGTGTGTGTGTGTGCGAGTGCGAGTGTGAGTGTGTGAGTGTGTGCAAGTGCTTTATGCGCAAAGAAAAATAGATAGCTGGCGAAAAACTAGAAAAGCTAAAGCAAACGAAGCGAAGTGCTGTCCCCCACTGACACATATATGATTATTTCCGAAAGGTGACAGCTATAAAAAAGGGCAGACAAACAGCCTTACGTACGTGGACTCCGCCCACCACACACACACACACACACACACACACACATATATACATTAAGCAGAAAGCAAGACAAAGGCCGTAGACAACACTGTTGCTCTTTTCAGCCACGCCTTCACGACCATTAAATTGTGATAGGCAGCCCGCCCGCGTTGGCACCTTTTTTAATTTCATTCAGCGCAAGAGCATATTCTCCTCCAGCTCGTTTTTATTTTTATTTTTTTGATGACCTGCAGGCTTTGTTTATCCGATGGCACTTTAATATATATTTTTTTATATTCAGTTCTTTTCTTTGCACACAAAATTAATTAACAACAAATGCGAATGCAAATCCAAATGCAAATGCAAATGCAGTTTTGTGGCCACTCCGGCAGCTCATTTAATTAATATTCATCCGCCAACTTTGGCAGCCAGCAGAATGGGGCACCTTAATTTGAGGCGCAGTGGGCATTTCGCAAAAGGGGGTGTGGCACTTGAAAACTAAACGAACTGACTGTCAAGTGACTCTTGCCAGCGACCAGAGCGTACTAGTCAAATAAAACAACGACAAAAAAAAAAAAAAAAACAAATAGTAACGAAAAAATAAAGGAAATCAACATCAAGTTGAAAACTTATGAGTGGGATAGTAGACAGGAAAAACGCAGCGTTCAAGGAAGTAATTATGGTTTATCCAAAGGGACAGATAGAGGCGAGGCAAAGCAAGAAAACAATAACAACAACAACTGGAATAATGATAGCAACAGCAGCGCAAGAAATTGTGAAAAGAAAGGAAAACGAGAAGACGATTCATAACATCAAAACTTCCAACTTTACGTGTAAATGAGAAAAACTAAATTAGAAAAGAGGCAAATCGCAAGGGAAATGCGACAGAGACGAATGAATGAACGAGTCAACCCAACACTGGACACAGAACACGGCTGGATAATTTCAACTCCGTAGATGGGCCGACAAAATAATTTTCTTTAGGAATTACGCCAACAAACAATAATAACAACTCAATGTTGGCTCGGTCCGTGGTTGGTTAAAGCAAAGTAACCGGAGTGAAAATATGAGAAGAAGGGTTCAAATCATTCGACTTTAAGATACGCTAGGTCAAGCTCTAAAAAAAAGTACACTCTTCTTTAACGAGTTTGCTTGAGGCTTAAGAGTTTAAGTTTAACTCTGATTTCTACACTGTTAATAATAATTATAATGAACCAAGTCGGATAGAAACTCGAAAATCAAAAAAATTTCAGCTGTAAGGCAACTCCTTAGCCAAAGCAGCAATGCAAAATAAATAAAATAAAATACTTCTGACCGAGAATTGGCCGTAAAGCATAATAGCTTGTATCCCAAACATTGCATTCAGCCAAATTCGTTCGCTGGCAATTTTGAGTTGAGCTAGAATTTAGCCCGAATTTTGTATATGAAAATATATAAAAAAGGCAATATTTTCAGCACAACGGGCATTCGTATGTAAAAAATAGGTTTTTTTTTTTAAAGCCTACGTTCCCAGCCTGGTTCAAAGCCCCGTTGTTGAAATGCGGGGTATAACTGCTTTTTAAGTAGTAGTAAAAAAAACCTGCGCTGGCCAAACCAACAATCGGTCGCAAAATTTTTTATGCCGGCTGCGCTGCAAATGACATAATGCAAAAATAAATAAACGAATAAAAAATAAATAAATAAATAAAAAAGAAGATATACAGGATGACACGGCAGAGCAAACGGGAGGTCTGCTCCCTGGCCCAAAGCACTAACAACTGCCTCACCCAGCATTTCTTGCTGCCACTTTGGCTGAGTTTATCCAGCCATTTATTGTGTGGCAAGTGCAGTTCCTTGTACTGCACCCTCTTCCCAACTCGAGTTCTGTTTGGCCTGTGTATTTGTGTTTTGCTTTCATTTTGGCCGCTCAATTTTGCCACGAGTTGAGTTGCAAGAGAAGCTGCCACACGGCTACCGCTGCCGCTGCTGTTGGCCATAAAGTTGTGCAAATAAATTGCATCGCAGTCGGAGGCTGGCAAGAAACAAATGTTGTTGCTGCGAAGCCGCGACGCGAAATTGATGGGGAATTGATTTGAAAGCAAATACATAAATGGAGCAGAGCCACCAAGAAGCCACCAAAAACAGGGCAGCGCATAAATCTTTGGGGAGCACCACACTGAGAAATTGGCTAGATATTGTGCTTGTGCCAGAAATTGAGAAATTGGCCAGGCAAAATGTGGTGGATGGTAAATTGGGTGTTGCGTGTTGCGTGTTGCGAGGGAAAAGCCAAAGAAAAAAAAGAAAGAAATGCGTTTGTTGTGTCTTTGCCAGAAAGTTGGGGAGTTGAGTTGAGAAATCATCGCGAATTGATGTATTCGTACAATTTGGCTTTGTTGTTGATTACTTTAACGACTGATTAGGTGCTGAAATATACAGAAACATGTTCTGAATATCAATGAGATAGAACAAGAAACTTTGCGGCAGCTCAAATTGAATGTACATGAGTAGCTTGAAGATAATTTTATTGATTGATTTAATGGTTTTACTTAGATTTATTTTGTTGTTCATTTTGGATTGTAAGGGCTTAGGTGGGCCAGGTGATGTGGCTATAAATGTGGAGTTGCTTTAAAAAATTGATTCTTTATAATATTATGAATAGATTATCGCTGCAATCTAAAAACCTGGCATGAGCTGTCGTCTACTGCTGCAAAACTATGAAAAAGCTATGTTCCGTTTATCGATAGGCCACATTATCGATTTTGCCAAAACATTAAATTTATCGATAATTTATAGCTAGATGTCTTTTTTTTTTGGAACTGTTTTATGAGCTTTTATATGTTAAAGTATTTCATTTAATGATGTTTAGAAACTTTTCGATATTGATTGGAGTATTATTTGTATAGTTATTGATATCGATGGTTCAAGAATTTTTCCATGTTTAGCTGTTTAATGTTGCCTTTGCTCTATTAGCAGCTTACACACAACGAAGAATTCATGTATTTTGTATTCGGCCATCTAATATGCAAACCAGTTGGGTTCATAAATCATGGAATTTGCATGCGTTTAGATATTCTTTTTTGCTTATTTTTATTTCTCTTTTTTATTTTTTTATTTTTTTTTTTTTGCATATCATTTTCATAATAATGCCGTTGCTTTTGGTGGCTGTACACTCGACAAACAACTTTTATGCTCAATACACAATTTCAATTCTCATCACTTGAATTTGTGCTGAAGGAGCCCAACAATTTCCTCCAAGTCGAAAATGTACGGCAATAATTCAACTCAATATTCTTGTGCACACACACACACACATGCTCAGGCATGCTCTTTCATACATGCTCGCACACATAAGTTAGCTAGTGTGGTGGAATTTTAAGTAAAATGTTGGCATTCACTTACCGATTCAATGGCCTTCTCCAGGCGAAAGATCTCCTCCTGCAGCAGATGCAGCGTGCCCGTTTTGCCGCGATGACGTGCAAATGCAGCGGCACAGGCGCTGTGTATGCTATTTACCCAATTCTCCAGCTCCACCTGTGTGTGAAAAGAATGAGAGAGCAGGTAAGAGAAAGTGTTGAAAAGAGCTAGAGAGAGAAAGGTGATTTTTTGTTGCAACAATTTGCTGAGCCAAATGCACCATAAGCAATTTGACATGGCTCCCCAGCGCCAAATGTCGACAACGTCGTTGTTGTTGCTGTTGTCGTTGTTGTCGTTGTTGTTGCTGTTGTCGTTGTCATTGCTGGCTGACTATCAGTTATGCAAATTTAATGACAAATCACTGAGGCGACCAGGCAAAACGCTGAAATGCTGTCAGTCAGCGAGTCAGTCGGTTAGTATGTTGGGTTTTGCGGGGAGGGGCCGATAGTAGATGGCAGGTGCGAATGAGAAGCGTATGCCTCTGAGACATGTAACAGTTTAGGCACAAGGACCCAGCTAGGCAACAACTATTGGTTCAAGGCAATCTGCCAGTTGGCTGTCGCATGCCCAAACTCAATCGCACTTTAAGCCGAGCGATTTGCATTTCAGCCATTTGCGGGGCTGCATCAGTTAACGCCTTCGAGTCTTAAACTGTCACTGCGTGTGTGTGTTGGTGTGTGGCACACATTTTGCATGGCGATTACGAATAAGGTCTGCTGAAAGCCCGCGAGCGCTGAACTCGACACCACACACACACAGAGGCAGCTGCCTGATAGATATCCTTGATATCCCTATGCAAACAAGCTCTCACTCAATGGCTCGACGATGTCGTCCAAGTCCAAGTCGTACTGCTCAATGCTATCAACGGTGCCCGCTCGGCAGCCTGGACAAGGCCAGCTTTTATGCTCGACTGCCCCTGGGCCGGGGCCTGATGTCTTTTCTAATTGTAGCATGAAAGTTGTACGCTTGAAGGACTTCCCAGTTTTTATTGAGTACGCCACGCATCATACATTACAGCCTGGGCCAAGTCTAGCAGCAAGAAGCACTTACCTGACAGGGCGCCTGGAACAGATAGGCATCACCGAATGCGGTGCTCAAACAGAATATGTAATCGCGCTTGGGATGCTCCGGTATTGGCTGCATAATTGCTCCGTCCACAATAATTAAATGCTTGGGCGCCGCCTCAACGCTGCGACCCTCACGCGAATCGCACGGATAGAACAGGAGTGTGGTGCCCTTTAGGCACACCCAATAGCCCTTCCAGCCACGTTTGCGAGCCAGCTCGATTTGATGCTTCTTGCGTAATAACCATTTCTTTACCGATAGAAAGCTGTAAATAAAGAAATGTAATCAAATTGAGTTGTTAAGTAAGCGCAACTAATAAATTCCAAGTGTTGGAAACAAATTTGTAGACAGCTGGTAAATACCATTTGCAGCAGCATAAACAATATTCCCTCAGAGAATTCAAGAAAATTAAATAGACATGACTTGGCAAATCGATGCAATAAATTATAAAAAGCGAGCTGATTTAGAAGCCGTAGAGAATTATAAAATAAATGTGTTGTGAATTGGCATACTAACCGCTTATATATCTAAGTTTCGAGAATATCTGAGACTTTAAGAATTCGAATGGTTCTTATAAGATGAACACTTGTTGAGAATTATAAAGAATATTAGGAAAGAGCTGTGCTAATAGTTGGATCTTTTGCTGTCTTTATGTGTTGCTCGCGTTAATTGGTTGAGAATTATAAATTTACCAGGATTAGCTCTTTCCTCTTAATTATAAAAGAGGTAAAATTTGATATAATAAGTGCTTAAAAATTCAAGGCCAACGACAGTGTAAATTACACTGGTTGCTAAAGAAGAAGTCTAGATGACGTTATAAAAAACGCGACTGCAGTGAATTTAACATAATAGACAAGATAGTTAGGGTTAATTAGCTAATAGGTAACACTAAACGTGCATGCTTTGTGGCCTCAAAGAGACGCGCATCTCTTATTACATTCAAGAACTTTTCTCTGCTTGCCTTTTTGGAGAGTCTCTACGGCATTGCAGCTGCGGGCGGCACACACTTCATCACAGCGCTGATAGCAGAGTGTATAGCACACTCTTGCTTGGCCGTAATCGCTGTAAATGATATGGCAAGCGTCAGGCCATTTGCTACTTTATTTATGATTAGCTGTTCGGGCTGGCAGCATGTTTGGGGCACACGTGCCCATGCTATCCAGCTGGCAGCAGCAGCATGCTGCCATGCCTGAGGGAATACCATTTCGTGCCACTGATTACAGCTAGTTGGGGCTTGATATTAACTTACCCAGCTTTACGCACAGCGCCCGTGCAGTTGAAGGAGGATGCAGCGGTGCCAGTGGCCTTTGCTTTATATGGTGACGCCATGACACTTTCGCCATCATCTTCATCCGAAACGGCAGTAGTTAGGCTCATTCGATCATCGTCCGAGATCTGCAAAAGTGCATTAAGTGAAAGCGTGTAAGTAAGGAGGAAGTAGCAAACAGATATGTGTACAACACTTGCTGTTGTTGCTGTGGTTGTTGTTGTTGTTGTTGATGCTGGCAACGATAAAATTCAATAAGTCTGCGAGGTAATAATTGAAATAATTAAGTCATAATTAGCAGAGCCAGTCAGAGGCAGGCTCCACAACCAACGACAACGACGACAACAACAGCAACCACACACACACACACACCCACCCAGCCATACACAACTCAACCCGATACGAATCGCAATGAGACGAATCGACCCCGTAAGCCATTTGAAACCAATAATGGTTGACTGGCTCCTTGTTGTTGTCGTTGTCGTTGTTCGTATTGCTGTTGCTGCTATTGCTGTTGTTGCTGTTGCTGTTGCCGTTGTCACTGCCGACAGCAACATTTGTTACGTATGTCGTCGATAAAGCAATTTGTCTTCTCTCGCCTGCATTTTTAGTGAAGTTGGCAACATGGGAGCAGAATTGACTGCCGGGACGGCTCGAGAGGGCGACGGATGGACAACAATTGACAATAACAAAAAGAAAAAAAAGGCTCAGAAAACGAATCGAAACAAAATAACAGCAACAGCAGCTGGAAACGGAGAAGATGTGACAGTAGAAAATAAAGGCAATGGCAAACAGTTTCTTGGCCATGTTATCGAGGCGAGCTGGCTAGCGAGCATTCCATCAAAAGCCGGGTCGAAAGCGACAGCTCTGCTCTGCTCTGCTCAGCTCTGTTCTGTGCTGTCCTGCCTTGGACCATCCTGCGACTTCCTTCCGTTCTCACCACACACAGAGCCCAGTGCGCCAATTTTGCTTTCGCAACAGGAAAGAGAGAGGAAAAAAGCGGTGGAGGGGTGCAGAAAGGGGGTTTGCTGGTAGCTGGGCCGTGTGGGAATCAAGCTGAGGCAACACGGCGCTGCCAATGCTGAGGCTGAGGCTGCGGTGCCGCGCGCACGCTACGTGTCCCGCGTGGCAATAAAAATTGGTTTGCCCATTCATTCGTTTCAATTGGATGGGGTGCTCTGGTAGCCCCAGCTACCAGACAGCCACGCCCACAATGTCGCTCACTTGCTGTTCATGCCATTTTTATTTGAGTTCCCAAGGAAATCAATTTACAATGTGTTTATTCGTTTCGTCTTCGCTTCCTGCTGGCTCTGGACGGTTCGGCATGGGACAGAACGGTCGGGGACGCCAGCCAGCGACAGACCCATCGATTCCTTGCCCCCATTTCTTGGCTTTGGTTACTGCGATACACAGTGTGCCGCCCTAACCACCAACACTAACCCCAACAGCTCCAGCAGCTCATACCATCCATACATGTTCGCCCGCCTCTTTTACGTTTTTGGCAATTTTCAAACATTTTTGCTCATATGCATGTTTTACAAGTTATTTATTTGACTGCCCGGCGCGTCGGTTGGGGGCGGCAAATGGGCAACTGTCAAGTGGCAAGCACGCTTATGTTTGCACAGAAGCCACGCCCAATCCGCAGGAGCAGTCGTTCGCCCTTTCTGCAGGCAAAGTCATGTGTGCTTAACCCACAAGTGATGTCGCCCTCATATCGTCGTTTGTCGTTGGCCAAGTTTAATCAAATTTTATATTAATCGAAGGAGTGCAAAGGCATGCAAATACCCAAACGTGAGCTGGCTGAGTGACTGCCGCTTCCGCTCCGGCAACATAAATATTTTCCAAGTCGAAATTGCCAAAAAAAAAAAAAAAGAAGAAATAAAAAGGGAAACCCAACGGCAGCACATCAAAGCGGTACCACACTGTGGAAGGGGTTCACCGGAGCAGGGGGAATAAAGGGCAATTCCATTGAATCGTGTTAAGGTGCAAAGCTTGTAGCTCTGATTAATTGGGAATGGTATATAATAGAGCAGGGCAACCGGAGAAGCCATTAAAAGCTTGAACAAGCATTGTGCAGTATATTTTTAAGGAACTTCCCAACAATGAATGCATATTGTAAGCTTCTTTCAACATTTTTTGCACTTAATTACCACTCAACCTGAACTTTTCTATGAATAGGTCAGTTTAAAATATTTTCCTCTTTACCTTTGACACACTCACCCTTCTTTGTTTTGACAAAGTTACCTTATTTTTAAAACATTTTCATGTTCTTTGATTAACCGTTACAGCTTTTTTTTTGGAATAAACTATCTTAATAATTTTGGTTTCAATTTGGCAGTTTTGATTTTGTGTACATTTTTTACAAAATTAATTTGCAACATTTTCATAAGCAGAGCTTCAATTTTAAATAGCCAGCGAGTGGCCGCAATCATATTCGGGACAGCTTCAATATTGAAAACTTCAAAAACACTCAAAAAGCACTCTCACCCACTTATCAGTAGCCGCCCTGCGCACTGCGACGCCCCGTTGTTGCCCTAAAGTACACCTGACAACATTTATAGCGCCAAATGAAATAGTTTCCGCTTGCTCAATGAAGTTTTCCATGAAATCATCAAGCCGAACGGAAGCTGTCGAGCGGAACTGTTCCAAGCAGGCGGCAGCAACTCTGGCAGCAGCTATGGCAACCCTGCCAACGAGGTGTGCTACACAAATACATAAGCACGAACTTTTCGCATCGAAATTAAAGACAATAAGCAAAGGGCCCAGCCAAAAATACATTTTGCTGAGTTGCCGCTAAGATACGCATGTAGCTGTATCTGTAAATATGTATTTATGTGTATACCAAAATAGAACTTTGTCTAACTAAAAGTCACTTTATCAGTTGTTGCTGTGCACAACAACAAAACACTCGGAACAATCGACGCTAATGTAATGGAAAACCCTTTAGAAAGCTGCCCCGAGTGGCTAGCAAAAAGGACATAACACACAAAATTAACGAGTTTTTTACCTTTTACAATAGATTACTGTGCATCTACAATTGTGTATTATGTATGTGCGGGTGTGTGTCTGTGTGTGTGTGTGTGCCCAAAAACGAGAGCCGAACCGTTACCAAGACTGCGCAAATGGCAGCATCAAATCTCAACGTCGACTGATTGGCCCTGTCGCCTGGTTACAATTTGTGCAGAACCCAAAGAGTTTGTCAAATGATTCATGAATTTTTAATTGATATGACCCGGCCCGAAGCACCGGCAATGGGCAGTGCATGGGCGCCATTCCATGGCTAAAATGCTGTAGAATTTCATCAGCAGTTTGGGACAGACTGCCTGACAATGGGTCTGTTGTTGTGTCTGTCGGCTAACTCACATGGGTAAGCCTAAATGGGCAGCCCTAAACACGCGCGCACACAAGCAAACACACACACACACACACACAAAAGATTAAATGCCTATAGTCCTGGGCTGTGACAAGTCTACCCCCCCAGCCTCTTTTCATCTGATTACTTGGGCCTAATATGCCATATCTCAGCATCAGTGCAAAATCAAAATTCAATTTACGCACAGAATCAAATACACACGCACGCACACAGGCGCCAAGGCGCCCAGACACGCCCACTTAGGCGGCACACCCTCATCGAGGCCCGGACAGGTGAGCTGCCGCCTGCCTGGCAGCGCCCCTGATGTCGGCGCTGCGTTTTCTAATCAAGAATTGATTGTGATCCCTCGATGCGGCTGTCGTTCACGTTTCATCCATAATTATCAATGACTTTTGAATGTCAAATGTGAGAGTTGCCTGCCGCTGGCACCTACACACACTCACACACACACCCACACACATGCTCACTCACACTCCCTCCTCAGACAAAAAAGAAAAAAGGAAAAATCATTTCATTTGTCGCTGTCGCTGTCAAAAATTACAATATTTGATAGAGTGTTTATATGCAGGACTTGTTGTTGTTGTTGTTGTTGTTCTTGTTCTTGTTATTGTTGTTGTTGTTGTTGCTGTTGCCAATGTCGGTTGTCAGTTGTCGGTTGTCCTTGCCGCAAACGCGCGCGAGCTGCCAAGCATTCAAATCTCACACATTCGCACAATTTCACATACTGCAAATTCGTGGCACGTTTGTCGTTGCGCAGCTCTTAAGTGAGGCATTAAACTGAAGTCCTGTTGCCCAGAAATTGATTCAGTATGAAAAATCTGTAGCGCCTTGCAAGTCCTTGCCAGCCCCAGTTCAACCACTGGTTTTCATTTTATTTTATTTTTTTTTTTTGGCAACATCTTAGTGGCAAATGAAGCTGTCTCAGCAGCATTCAAATGTCTGTGCAGCGCGAGCTAAGCGAAAGCAATTTGGCATTAGCTGTAAGACGGATTTTGGCAATGATTAAAACGGAAATACTGTCGCTGTGCAGCCAGCGGGGGAGCGGTGCTCATATTGGGGGTAAAACGCACAGGTATGTGTCATGACATTCCCATTTGATTAAATGTGTGCACTGAGCGTTGCTTAGCATTAATTGGTTTGTGCAGCAATGGGCTTGTGGCAGCAGATCAATCAAAACTAAGAAGGGTTTTAGACAGGTTAACTGAGCCAATTGCGTGGTATGTTGAACATGGAGCCTGCGAGAATTTCTTTTTGCATGGGTGTGTCCTGTTTCAGGTGAACATTTGAGCCATAAGACTGAAAACTCGGAATTCCAATTTATTAGTACTGTTTGGGTCGAGCCTTAAGCTAATGCGAATTCGAAACCGAATCATAATTATTGCAAGGCGTATTTTAACAACATTCAACCAGCAACAATACCTAGTAACAAATCATAGATAAAGGCGTGCGAAGAACCCGCTTTACGAACCGAATCCGAAGGCAGGCCGTGTCAGTGGAACCGTATAAACATACTTTCCTTCGATTGCCTTACCCTATCGACCTCTCTCGTCAATTCCCTCACTCTTTAAAAACTTCATATTCACTTTTTTAACTGAATTGATTCACAAACACGAACATTAGCTCGAAAGCAAATTTCTATTGAACGCATTCAAATGGAACTCAAGAGCTGCGGAATAATCAATCTAACCTTAGCTTCAAAACCTTTACTGGCGCAGAGTCAGCTTTTATATGATGACTCAATATGTTCTGTTGATCTGGCAATTAATTAATATGCAGCGCGTTTGGCCAGCTATCAGTTATTCAACTAATGCCCCATTCAAATTCAGCCATTCAGCCATACTTAGATACATGGACAGCGCGATGTGTATCTGGCTCCAAGTTGAATGCAATTGCAGAGGTTGCTGTCCCTTGGTCAATTGAACTGAATTTGAATACCCTAAGCACATTGCAAATGGCTAGAACGGGTATTCTATACAGGTAACAGCTATGTAACAGACTGAAGGAGGCATCCACGAACTTATTTGAAACATGTATTTTATATTCAGAACCAGTTTATCATTTTTCTTCAATAAATTTACCATTGGATATTGAGGGTATCTCCTAGTCGCGCAGCAAATGAGCTACACGATTGAAAATGGCTGCATAGTTTCCATAGATACAAGTAACCAGTTGCCAGATACAAGATACAAGTGCTTTAGGGCTGCACCGTTGATGCGCATGAATGCGGCACTCATGGTCGATGCCACGCCCATTGGACAAGTCCACAAAGTACATACATATGCTACAAATAGCCTTTATCACTTTGCCACTGTGATTCATGTGAATTCCAATCAATGCCATTCATTATCCAAAAACTAAATACGAACAGTAAATGAAAATCCCCCTCGCATCAGCGCGCCACACACCCTTCCCCTGCCCAATCATCCACTTGTTCGCCTGGTGCGTGCGTGTGTGCTCTGTTAAGAGCTTTTTCGGCTGGGGCTAATGCTTTAATTTATTGCCAGCCTCCTTTGTGAGCACACAGGCAGGCAGGAGTCGTGGCCGGAGACGAAGAAGGCGTTGGAGTCGTTGCCGGAGCTGCCTTGCAGGAGCTCGAGCGTGAAAAGGATGCTTTTGGCTTTGATCAACGTTTTGTTAGGCAACCAAAATGAATTTGTAGCAGACAGACAAACGGACAACAGACGCAACGTTGCGACAATATATTTAAGTCATTTGGTGTCGACGACAAAGGGCCATGAACCACCGGGCGGGGGCGGCAACGAGGACGGCTGCGACAACATTCTTTGTGACAGGATTTCAAGCAAAGCTCAAAATTAAAGTAGCCGACAACAAAAGTTGATTTTAAAATTTTGAAGAAAAAATTACTTTACAATAAAATTTGTGGGTGTTAACGAAAATACAAAATATTATATGTAATAAATAAAGGAAATGACTGAAATTCAAGTGTGACCAAATGATGTAAATAAAATTATTGATACGACTTGCATGTGTTAGTCATATAACTCATTCAATTTTTGTGGCTTTTTGACAAGGAATACCCCTAATGTGAGGTAAACGATAGCCTCTAAATGCTGGCAAATGCACAAATCACACTTTAAGTGAAGACGCAATTTCATTATTTTTTCCATTCAAATGTTGTATATATCCTTAATTATATGAAATTTGTGAGTTATTTGAAAAATGGAACCTATCTCACTGGAATACCTTAAATAGGTAAAGTTTGGGCAATACTTTAAGCTCGCGTGCAAGCTGTTATAAAAAGTAGGTTTGGTAAAAACGTTTGCTATAAATATGATTATAAAAATATACTTAAATTAGATTTTGTTGCATTTTCGTATGCAGAAATACCGCAAATAATTATTGATGTGTTAATTTTTTGAGATTGTTTTTTTTGTTTACCTTGCGAAGGAACATTTCGTTACACTGCTTGGCTGTGCTGCGCCAGTGCCGATGGCGATAACGTGAGTTGCCCAGCTTGAGGGTGCCCTGGAGATCGGCTGCCTCCTCGACGACACGCCTGATGCACTGATAGCGCAGCCGATTGCAACGGTGTATGGGCTGGAGAGCAACGAGGCCGTGCTCCGGTTCCGATTCGGCACCGGAACGCACCTGATCCTCATCGTCGTCCACCCAGGCGCTAAGCACACCTTCCACAAAATTGTAGAGCATCTGTATGTTGGCCTTCATGGGCGCCGAGCCCGATGGCACTTGCTCCGTCTTGATGAGCTTACGATTCTGGCACACCTCCCGCAACAGATTCTCGCCAAAGTGCACGGTCTTGTGTCGGCGCCGACGCGAGTTTAGGGATGCAGCCGAGGCGGACTTCATCAGTTTGCCATTGCCATTGAGCACATGATGCATATGGCCGTTCGAGGGCTGCTGCACGGGCTCCAGCCAGCCGAGATTTGTGGCCAGGCCGCTGCTGGAGGCGGTTGAATCGCCGCGCTGCAACGTATTCGGCTGCGAATTGCTGCGATAATGTTGCATGTGGCGTGTGGGCGAGGCAGGCGGCAGCAATGGTAACGGCTGCTGTTCCAGTTCAAGCGGCGCCGGCTCAATGTCGTCCAGTGTCGCCGGCGGCTGGGCGAGTGAGGTGCGCAGCCGATTGAAATCAGCGGCACAGCGAGGCAGTGAGTTGCACTTGGCGGCATTGAGGCATTTGCGATTCTGGCAGCTGAGCAGCGGCGCGCACGACCGACACTCGTGGCAGATGACCAGACGGCGCTCCGGTATTGGTGCCGCAATAGCTGCTGGCGTTAGTGGCTGTAGTTGTTGTTGTTGCTGTTGTGGTGGTGGCGTGGCCGTTGTCGAAGGCGTTGTGGCATCGGAGCCGCCCATCAAATGTGCGGGCACCGCATGCAGCTGCACTTGGGCCAGTTGCTGGTGCCGCGCCAGGTTCACCGAGCTGGCCGAGGTCGTGAGACAGCGTCGCCGTTGGCATTCCTGGTAGCGGCAGTGCGGATCTGTGCAGATGGGCAGCAGCGGGCAGGCGGGATCTGTGCAGGGCGATGGCGAACGGGAGCGTGGCGCACGCTCCGCACTCGAGGATTTACGCTTGTGACTGCCGCTGGAACGCTGAGCGGACATATCCGTCACGGTCGCGGAACGCTGCGTCTGATGGCGACGCGAACGCTCGCGCTTGGACTTGCCGGAGCTGCTGGTGTGGGTGGTGATAGTTTCCATGGGCGGCGTTACCTTGGGCACATACTGATAGCGCTCCTTGTGCGGCTTGGCATAGAGACGCTCCAGTCGATCCAGGTGTGCGCTTGCGCTGGACACCGGCGCTCCGCTGCTGACCACCTCGCTGGCCGAGTGGCGCAGTCGGCGCTCCCGGGAGCGTTCCTCGCGTCGGCGCTGCTCCTGGCACAGCTGCGTGTGGGTGGCAACCACAGGCACATCATAGCCGCTGGGCACTGTCGTCGTCGCCAATGGGGGCGGCGGCGGTTTGCCCAGCGACTGCAGCTTGTGCAGCGGATACGCAATCCAGTCCAGCGTTGGCAGCTGCTGCTGCTGCTGCAGTTGCTCCTCATCGCTGTGGCCCAGCGAGTGGCGTTTGCGCTGCAGCGCAGCATGTTCCGTGGCCGCGTGATCCTCCTGCGAGTTGGAGCGCGGCGCAGCGCCGCTGCTGCCGTTGCGGCGATGATGCGAGCGACGGGACGACTTGCTGCCAGCTGTCGACTGCATCTTGGTCAGCCATTCGACTATGTCCGTCTTTAGCAGTGACACCTCGCAAGGTCCGGAGCTCTGGCGGGAGAGTGGCTTCTTAAGCAGCTCGGCCAATGCCTTGGCATACGCCGAGCTGACGGGCTTCTCCGTTGTGGACTGGCGCTCGCGCTGACGCGGCAAATGCTCCAGCAGCCAATCGGGCAGCTCATCCTTGAGCACGGTGATCTCACTGGGGCCGGAGGAGGTGCGCGCGGGCGCCTGCTGTTGAGCGGCACTGCTCTTCTGCAGCTTTAGCCATTCCATGGTCTCCTCGCGCACCTGCCCACCCTCGGCGGAGCGTGCGGAATGACGCTGCTGTGCCTTGCGATCGAACCACTCCAGCTGTGGCTCGGGCGCCGCCTGGCGCAGCGCACTCTTTGGCATGGTCACCTCCTCGGCGCTCTTTTGGCGACGCGGCGGCAGCTGCGGCTTTTGGTCGGGCAGACGCACATAGTGTGGCTCAGTGAGGCGCACGGAGCCCTTGCGCCGGATGCAGCGCTGCTCCATGGTGTCCTCTTCGCGTGCGCGCACGCGTCGCGTTATCTCAAAGATGTCGCCGTTGATTTGGTGGTAGAACTTTTCAACCTCCACGCCCCTTTCAAATTCCTCACGCACGCTGTGCGGCTTGCCGGCGCCATGACGCGCTGGTGGGCGTGGCGGTGGTGCCTCCTCCAACTGCTGCTGCTGCTTCTTTTGCTGCTTATCCTCGCTGGTTTCATCGGAGCTGGGAATACCACCGACGCCGGCGCCGCTATCAGCGACCCAACTTATGCAACGTTCACCGCTCGACTGCTGCTTCGGTGGCAGCTGCGTCTGTTGTTGTTGCTGTTGTGTTGGCTGTTGTTGTTGTTGTTGTTGTTGTTGTTGCTGCTGCTGTTGCTGGAGTAAGCGATCCAGCGAGCCGTGATGCGTTGTCGTGAGCGCGGCACCCTCGCCGAGCGACTGCAGCCGACACTGGGCATTGCAGATACAGACGCCGGTGCGTTTCTTGCTGCCAAAGCGAAACAATTGACTCGCCAGCTGAGAGACATTTTCACCGAGGCCCAACCCGCTGCCGCTGCTGCCGCCGCTGCCGACGCCGGCGCCAGCGCCAGCCCCCGCATCCCTTCCCGAGGCCGTTGTTGCTGATGTCAAACGTGCCACCGGATGTGAGACGGGTGTAATGTCGACGATCACGCAACAGCAGTGTAGCGAGAAGGTTTTCTTGGGATCTGGGGCAACGCTGCTGCTGGTGCTGTTGCTGCCGCCGCCGTCGTTGTTGGCAGCGTGCTGTTTATTCTGGTTGTTGCTGCTGCTGTTGTTGCTGCTCTGGCAGTTGCTGGCGGTAGCGGCGGTGGCGGTGGCGGCAACGCCGACGCCAACGTTGCTGCTGGCGCCGACTTCGTGGGCGACGTTGCTTTTGCTGTTGTTGTTATTTGGTTCACTTGGTTGGCGCTGTTCGTTGTTTGTTTGATGTTGTTGTTGTTTTTGTTGTTGTTGAAGTTGTTGTATTGGGGCGGCCAGAATGAATTACAGCAACGGCGGCAACAACAACAACAACAGCAGCAGCAGCAGCGTTGGCAGCTTTGGCAGCTATGGCTATATGCTAAATTCTTGGGCGTGGCTAACTTATTCCTGTTGCACTGAGGCGTTGTTGCGTCTATTGTTGTGGTTGTAGTTGTTGCTGTTGTTGTTGTTGTTGTTGTTGCAGATGGAAATGCGTTTTTGTTGATTGATGTGGCTATGTTTGTTGCGCTTGTTGTTGTCGTTGTTGCTGTTGTTGCTGCTGCCATGCATTTGGCTTCACAGCTAACGCATACACACAAATCGACGCACGCACACGCACGAGCTGCACATGTATGCGTGTGTGTGAGTGTGTTATTTATTTGGCGATTAATTAAACTAAAAGCTCATTTATATAATGCAGTCATTTATTAAACAGTTGTTGGTTTTGTTTTTTTTTTCGGCAATTTATTTATTTATCTATGAGTGCGGGTGTGTGTGGGTGTATCTCGCACACACGTCGCACACATTTATCTATAATTAATTATTTTTACTTGTTGCGAAACGCTGAATGGCACCACAAAAAATTCGCTAAATTATACGAGTACTGAACACATTCGTTTTCGGTTTCGGTTTTATTTTTGTTGCTCTTTTATTTATTTGATAAACTGTTTATCTGTGCGTTGTTGCGTGCGTAGTTTCATTTCTTGTTGTTGTTGCTGCTGCTGTTTTTTTTTTTGACATTTATTTACAATTAATTTAATTATGCTTGCGCTTTAAATAGCTGTGCGTTGTTGCTTTTGTTGTATTGCTCGCTTGCTGATTTCATTAATTTTATTTATTTATAGTATTTTTTTTTTTTGCATGTTCGTTTGTTGCTCTTGTTAATTTGGTATAATACATTAATTGCTGCAATTATTGAAATAAAGCATTTAAATGCCTGGCAACATTTTCTGTTGCCTGCTTCTCGGCGCACCGTTTCATTTTGTTAGTTCACTTTCTGTTGCCTACTTTTCAGCTGAGCGGCAGCCTTCAAGCTTTGCGCCTGTTCAGCTGCATATTTCAGGGTTAGGCTTTTGTGTGCATTTCAGTTTATATTTAAATACATATTATATCATATATATATATATGTATATTTTTTTAGGCACAAGGACACACATATTAGTCTGTCTGTGTGAGTGTGTATGTGCTGTGTCTGCTGCCTCTAATTAGCATATAAAAAGACGAGCCACCAAAAAAAAAACCCGTGTTGCATGCTTTGCAAGTTTTTAAATTTCAACTTGCAGCTGCCCCAAAAATAAAAATAAAACATTTTTTTATTTATATTCATATTCATATTTTGCTCTTGTGTTATTTTAAAGTTTTGCAACAACAGCGCAAAGGGGCGCGGCACAAAAAAGTTTTTGCACAACTCTTCTTGGTGCGCAAATATTTTGTTTGTTATATTGCTAGCATAAATTTGCTGGCTATCTGCACACACCGACGCACACGCACACGCACAGAGAGTGGGAGGGGCTGCTGTTAGAGCAAGATGCGCATATATTTATAAGCTCATACATAAATACTTTTCTGGCCTGGCTGGCGAATGCATAAATTTTCCCAACGTCATGTATGTGCGAGGCACCAAGTCACATCCTGTGGCCCACACCCCGCTCCTGACTTGTGTTTATGCAAAGCACAACATAGCTGTTGAAAAAGCAGCTGAAGTAGGAGCAGCAGCAGCAGCAGCAGTAGCAGTAGCAGTAGAAATGCGCAAAGTTTTTCGGTCTGTTGCCAAAAGTTTGCTTGTTAAGTGAAAGGATTATATGATCCAGTATGTTTCTTGTTGTTTTTTTTGTGTTTTGTTGTAAAACTTGAAAAAATAAGTTTTCGTATTTTTATGTTATGCCAGTTTGTTGTTACTATTGCAGCAGCTCCAGGGAAAATCTTAAGAGCAACGCCTCGAGCTGTGTTGATAGTTTTTATAGCCTACTTCTTTTTTGGAGGGGAAGTTGTACTGAAAAAAATAAAAATAAAACAAAACACAAACAAGAGGAAGATGCTGCGAGCTGCGAGCTGCTAGTCCTGAATTAGTGCGTCTTAGTTGCTTTCTATTTTATTTTTATTTTATTTTCTTGTTGGGGTTGTGCGGCTTACGCGCGTGCAAAAACACACACACACACACACACGCACACAGACATAATAAACTTTTGGCCAGCTTGTAGCCGTTAGATGCGAGTTGTCGATAAGTTTAAGTTGCCATGTGTTTAGTTAAGATCTCCCCTTGCCACATGCACGTGCGAGTATGTGAGTGTGAGTGTGAGTGTGTGTGTGTGTGTGTGTGTGTGTGTGTGTGTGTGTGTGTGTGAAGCTCAACTAGTTGGCAACTGTGCTTGGTTGTGTGTAGGCCCCAAAGGTGCTCGAGCGCATTTGTTTAGCAATTTTATCTTGATTCGCACAATAAAGTTAATTCCTGCGCCCAAAGTTTTAGTTGTTTCTAACCCGCTCCAAGCTTTAAATGACATTATTATAGCTATGAGCGTGTGAGTTTGTATCTAAGGCAACTGTAATAAATTATTTCGATTGTTTTAGACACACGAAAAGTTTTGGCAGTTATCTTGGCGTATATTTGGCAATAGGCAATAAGCGAGAGTTAGGCGAAAGTTTTCGGCACGGAGGTTTTTAAAATTGAATTATAAAATTATGCAGCAGCTACGCAGATAAGCAGCTCTATAAAGATGCGCGATTAGCCAAAAGGGTAGCTGTTGCCTAAAGTTGTTTATATTTTGGTCTGTTAACCAACTTTCTGAGCTCAAAGTTGTATCTATTTGAAGCTGTTGTTGCTTCAAGATATATGAGATATATAAATTGCTTGCTCTTCAAAAAATGCTTTGAAGTTGAGAAGCAACAAATTGGTTTTAAATATTATTCGTGGAATATGCTCCTAACTAGCTGTACACCTAATGTCAGCGTTAGGTTAATGTCTAAACATATAAAATGACACAAAACATGTCCAAACATAAAAAATGCTCTATCCAAAAATAGACTGTTGCGTTTTTTGCATTAATAATATATTAATATAATGCACTAAGCGTCAAATTCACAAAGTTTGTGGATTTAAGCTATATTCTAAAAAGTGCTTAGCTTGCGCTGAAAAGTAGGCAACCATTTTCTGCAGTCGCTAAGAATGATATGAAATGAGCTGTAAGAGTTTCTGTGCTGCGCTTGAAAGTAGGCAATGCTTTTTGTTCAACACATTCTCAGTAACAATATTGTGTCGGGGAAAATTACTGATAGTTTTGTCGGGGGAAATTACTGATAGCGGCAATGGCTTCGTTTACTCGTTAAGGCTCTGCGGCCATAAAGTGTGTTGCCTAGAAGCTGCTTGTTGCTCTTGTTGCTGCTGCTGTTGTTGTTGTTGTTGTTGTCGGCTAGCAATTTGAAATCAACGGACTGGCTGGGACAAATAAATTAGATTTCCGCATAATTCGATGGGCAGCCACAGGCACTAATGAGAGCAGCAGCAGCAGTCGAGTGTCTACGCCTGGGCAACATGTGTCTGTGTCAGTGTGTGTGTGACTATGTCCGTGTCTGGTTGTTGCTGTGCATTTATTTTTAGTTAAATAAATTCTAATGAATTTATCAACATGTTTTTAATGCATTTAATGTCAGCGCACACCCACCCACAAGCACACACAGACACACACATGTAAGGCACACACACACACACACACACACAGACGTGCAGTCATAAATATATATACGTTTAATGTTAGTAAAAACAACTGTCAAGTACAAGCAGCACAAATATGCCACACTAAATGTCGCTAGCTCTCGCTCTGACTGCCATTTAGCCAACTGTTTCACTCGCTTTGTCTCGTTCACTATGTGTGTGTGTGTGTGTGTTTGTGTGTGCGGGTGTGTGTGTGTGCTTTGGCAGGCATGACGTTGATAATATCCTTGCACATGTATGACGTTGCTGGCTGGTTATCCTTGCAGCTGCTACTATTGCTTTTGCTGCTGCTGCTGTCGTTACTGGCAACGGCAACGGCAACAGCAGGCGCTGCCTTTTCATTGTGCCACAACAATTGTTGTTGTTGTTGTTGCTGCTGTTGTTTCTGCGCCCATTTGCTTGTTGATATGTATTTTATTAGCCAGTCAGGGCAAGCAAAAACTTTTTGTGCGTTGGCGTTTTAAATTTTCGCTGCGCGTGCTAAAAATATAGGCAAACAGCAACAACAGCAACAACAGCTGCCTGGCTGGCTGTTAGCCTGGCCAACAAAACAAGCGTCAACTACAATATACGAATCTAACGGAACGTAGCCTAGACTCAAAAACTCAAGTCTTGAGTTTTTTGCTTTCTGTGTTTTATATTTTGTTTCTCTCTCTCTGCCTGTCTCTCTTTTGTGCACGCTGTTAAATGTCTCTGTTTGTTGTTGTTGTTCTTGTTGTTGTTGTTGTTGTTAGTATGTGTGTTAAGTGCGTTGGTATTTGCGTGTTTTTCTTTTCTTTTTGCCATTGCCCCGCACTGCTGCACAGCTGTGGCATTTTTCAACACTTTTTACGTTCAACTTGTTTTATTTTTTATTATTGTTGGTTTTTGGTTTCGTTCTTTTTTTTTGATTTTTTTTTTTTTTGGAAAACTCTGCACTTGTTAATTTTAGGTTTAATGGCGATTGGCCGAACAATTCTCATTTGATTTCTGCACACAGGCACACACACACGCATACACGCGCATTTTTGGGCGGCTGCGTTGTTGTTCCGATTTTACTTCATTTCTTTGCATTTTTTTGCTCATCTTTCTTTTTGCTTTTTGCGTTTAACTTGTGTGCTAAATTATATAGCCTGCGTCGATTTCAGAGCGCTGCGTGTGTCTGTCTCGGATGCTATGTTAGTATTCGTAACTGTGTGTTTGTGTGAGTGTGTGTGTGTGTGTGTGTTGCTGTTTTGTAATTTGATTTCTTTGCCGCCCGCCACCCGCTGTGGCTGTAGCCGTAGCTGAAGCTGAAGCTGTGGCTGCTTTGCTTGGCTCACTGCTGCTGACGCACTTTCCGCACTTGACGGCCGACAAAGTCGCACTGCGAAATGTTTTCCATGCATTCGCTTGATTTTACATTTTTTATATTTTGATTATTGTTTGGTTATTATCCTACGCGTTATTTTGGTTATTTGAGTTTTGGTTTCATTTGTAAGCAGTCTCTGGATTTGCTTGCTTTCTGTGTGTTTCGCCTCTCGCTACAAACACAAGTGCATGAAGCGCGCAAACAGCTCGCGACGACGTTCCCGTTGTGACTGATTTTCACCACACAGCACAGGCAGCAGCTAAGCGCGACGCTGACGATGGCCGCAGCCGACGCGCCAAAAGAGAGAGAGACAGACTGAGAGAGACAGCGAGCGAGAATTCGTCTTGCATTTGCAAAAGTGACTCTCGGCGTTTGGCTCGCTCGCTCTCTCGCTCTTTTTCTCTGTGTCGGGCAGGCGGCAGCCTCGTTAGCTTTCGTTTGTTTTATTGTTGTTGTTGTTGTTGCTGCTGCTGCCGCCGCTGCTGCTGCTGCTCCTTGCCCCATTTCGTGTGTGTACAGGCTAAGCTTATGCTCGCACACACACACGAAAGCGGGTCGTTGCTAACTCGGCTGCTCTTGGCCGCCGCTCAAATTGTTTATAACAGTTTCGCCACATTTCGTAAAGCATCGTTACTTCGCTTTTATTTACGTAATCAGCAAAATCAAAAAGCTTTCGCAGCATCCGTCGCGGCTCGCTCTCTTCTGCTGGCGGCAGTCACATGAGCGCGGTGAAAAGCTGCCGCCATCAAGCTCAGACTTGGCTGCTTTCGCGCTCTTTGATTGAACTGCCATTAAGAGAGCGGATGCTGTTTTAGTTAACAGCCCGTTTAGTCACATTATAAATCTCTGTGAGTGTGCAGTTTGCGTGTGTGTGTGTGTGCGTGTATGTGCCTGTGTATGTGTGTGCTCTGTGCCCAAGCATAATTTACAAATCAGACGACGACGACGACGACAACAACGTTGTCGACGTCATCAAAACCAAAATGCAGTTATAATGCACTTAGGCAGCTCTGGCGGGGCAGAG